CGCCCCGGGCGCGCCCCGCGGGGCCCTCGGCCGCCGCCGCCGCCGCCGCCGGGGTGTCCTCCCAGCTCCGGCGCTCCGACTTCTGTCTCCAGCGGGGCTGCCGGCGGCCTCTGGGCAGCGCGCTGCCCCCGGTGCTGCCCGCGCCCGCGGCTCCGGCCTTGCGCTTGGGCTTGTAGGAGTAGTAGGGCCTCCAGAGCTGGTCCTCCCCGCCGGCGCTCACTTCCTCGTCGTCGTCGTCGTCGTCGTCGTCGTCCTCGTCGTCGTCGTCGTCCTCGTCGTCGTCGTCGTCCTCGCTCTCCTCCACCTCCTCTCCGCTCAGCTCCCCGGGACGCAGGTCAGTCTCTGAGATGCGACGCTTGACAATGGCCTCCTCCCCGATTCGCACAGTGATCTGACACAGTGGAGGTGGAGCCTGTAGCTGAGAGGGGCCCCGGCCAGGCCCCGCGGGGGGACCCCCACCCCCGCCAATCCCGCCGGCTGGCTTGGCCGTGTAGGTCAGTGTCCTTCCGGCCCGTGGGTTCCGGCCCTTGGCCTCCTCCGTGGCTGTGGCCGGCCCCGCGGCTGTGGCCGGGCTGCCCGCCGTGGCGGGGCTGGTCGGTGTGGCTGCAGGCTGAGGGGGAGGAGGCGGGTACTCACGTTTTTTGGGGGGCCTCGGGGGAGCGGTGTAAGTGATGACCGAGGCAGCCTGGGCTCCCCCGGTGCTGGCCGGGCCCCCCCCCTGCTCCACCACCGCTCCCGCCCCCGTGCACAATGACCGAGGGAGCTGGGTGGGCAAAAGTGATAACAGAGGGTGGGGGGCCGGGCTGGGGGGCGGGTGGGGGGCCGGGTGGTGGGCTGGCAGGCATTGCTACAGGGGCCGGCGTGTTGAGGCTTGGAGAAAGGGGGGCCTCGGGGGCTCCCTGGCTGTAGGTCTTATAGGGCCGCTTGGCTGCCCGCATGGGGAGCAGGCGGTACAGCTTGAGGGTATTGAGCTTGGGCTTGTAGCCTCCATTGGGTGTCTTCTCACTGGCTAAGAGGCCGGGGCTAATGCCATGGAAGGCTCGCTGGTGGGTCTTCAGGTTATAATAAGTGACAAAGGTCTCCCAGCAGAAGATGCACTGGTACCTGGGCCGGGACAGCAGGGAACAGGGCAGGGACAGAGACGCTGGAGTCAGGGGCCCGGCAGCCAGGGCCTCAGCTTCCCACGTCCTCCGCTCAGACCTAGAACTCCCCCAGCCATTCCCTCGCCCTCCTTTCATGCTGCCTGTCCTATCCTGCCAGCTTCCGGGGAGGAACACCCCCCCCTCGTCCTAGCTCAGGGCCCCCCCCCCGGGTGGCTGGGAGTCACCAGGCCCCAGCTGCTCCATCTGTGAACCGGGAAGAAGCACCCACCTCGCCTAACTCACAGCTCCGGGGACAGAACGGGGACACGTCTTATGAACGGGGACGTATTACGGAGACACGTGTCACAACTACTGGACAGGCCCGCGCTCCCCACAGTCTTGTCCTGGGAGGACAACTTCTTCTGCCCTCCTCGGCCTCGGGCACAGCACCAGGCCCCACCCCACCCGGAGCATCTGGGGGCGCTGGTGAGCGTTCACGGAGGGAGCGGAGGCAGGGGGGAGGCAGGTGCGTGAGCGACCATGAGCAGGCGAGCAGGGGCGAGTGGGTGAGCAGGCCAGCCTCTCGATGACCCTCTCGGCCCCCCTCCTTCCCTTGTCAGTGGTCCCCGCGCGCGCGCGCGCGCACGCGGCCTCCTGACCCTGCGCCGCCACCCGCGCCCCGATCTCCAGGACCCCCGCGCTCACCTGCGCTCCCCAGTGTGCCACACCTCGTGCTTGGTTCGGTACTCAGCCAGGGCGAACACCTTCTCACAGTAGCGGCAGGGGTACTTCCTCCGCCAGGAGTGCACGTTGCTGTGCCGCTTCAGGCTGGACAGGGTCACGTAGGAACGCTCGCAGGCCGCGCACACGTACAGCACGTGGCCACCCACCACCTTCACCACGTGCTCAGGGCCACCTCGGAAGCCCACCGGCGGGGGCAGGGCTGAGGCATCCACTCCCGCAGGACCACTGGGGCCGGAGCCCCCGGAGCCCAGCCCCGCAGGCCCTCGAGGGCCGGCCCCCCTTCGGCACTGAGCCTCATGGGTCTGCAGCCGCTTGGGATGGATGAAGCTCTTCCCACATCGGGGGCAGGGGAGGGGACGCCGGGACAGCGGGGGCTGGGAGTCAGAGGCCTGGGCCTCGGCCCTGTCGCCCTCCCAGTCCCCTGCCGGCCTAGGCCCGGGCCCGAAGCTGTCGTCTTCAGGCTGCGAGCTGGCCATGGGGGCTGGGGCAGGAGGTACCCAGGCATCGCCTCCCTCCCCCAGGCCCTGCAGGCGGGAGATGCCCAGACGCCGCCCCAGAGCCCCGATCTCTGCCACCGCTGCCCCGTCCCCTCCGCCGCCTGGGAGTGCGAGCCGGGCGCTATAGATGAAGTTGAGGACATCAGAGAAGGCGGCGGCCGGGACCCCCGGCAGCTCCAGGACCCGGGGTGGGGAGGAAGTGGGGGGTGAGGCCGGAGGGGGAGAAGACGAGGAAGAGGAAGAAGACGAGGAGGAAGAGGAAGAAGAGGAGGACGAGGAGGACGAGGAGGAGGAGGAAGAGGCAGCTGTGGTGGTGGCCGGGTTGGGGGCAGGGCCCCCAGTCACTGGTGGGAGGGGCAGCGGAGCCGAAGCAAGCAGGGCCTCTCTGAAGAAAGGACTAGACGCGGCCAGGACACTGCGGTGCGCGGGGAACTTGGTGTCTCCAGCTATGAGGGTGACGTCACAGAAGAGGCCACGGAGCCGCTGCTCGTTGAGCTGGCGCAAGACGGCGGGGGCATGGGACGGGTCCGTCACCTCTGCTGGGGGGGGCATGGCGCCAGCCTAGACAGACGAGAACAGGAAGGGGGGGGGGCGGTGAGCGGGGAGGGCAGCGGAGGCTGTTGGTCAGAGACCAGTGGGAGACTGACAACCTTCCGGTCACAGAAGGCAGGGGTTAATCTTAGCCACGCGACTCTGGCGGGCATCCGACAGTAGTATGTCGAACCTCTGGGGCTGGAAGAGGCTAGGAGTGGTTCAGGTCACGATGAAGGTCAAGGGTGAAAGCCTCCAAAGCCACAGACAGAGAGGAAAGCAGTGGCCACTTCTCTCCTGGCGGGAGGAAGAGGGAGCCCCCACGGGGACTGGTGACCCCTTCACAGGACGCCCGCGTCTAGAAAAACATGACTGCCCTTGCCTCCCTTCCGACTTCTCCCAGCCTCAGACTCTCGCAACGTCTCACCTGAGGGCACAGTCAACATGGAGCAGAGCGGGGGGCTGGCTCAGCGAGTCCCTTCTGTGGGGCCTCTTCCTTCTGCGGAGACACAGAAACCGTGTTCTCAGGAAGGGAGCCGGGAAGGAAAGGACCCCGGGGGGGGGGGGGCGGCCACAGCCCTTGGGGTCAAAGAGGACGCCCGGGGCTGCTCTGGAGACCCTGACCCTTCTGGGGACCTGTCAGGTTATTTGTCTAGCTGCATCCGATTGGACCTAGGAGGTCACACGCAGATAATTGCAGACCCCTGCCTGCCGGCCCAGAGTATAGGCACAAGGCAATTTGCATAGTCCCAATTCACCTCAAAACAACACGACGGCGGTGGCGTAGCTCAGTCCCATAGGTCCAGGGGAGCCTCTCGGATCAGTCTCAAGTCCCTTTGGCCCAATCTTCGGGGCTCAAAGAAAATCAAAGATTTGCATGTTGTCTTTCATTATAAGAGTCTCATTTCCACATCAAAATAGATTTGCTAGAGCTTTTTTTTTTCATTGGACCAAACTGCTAGATATTCCACTTAGGAGAGGACTGCACACACGCACACACGCGCGCACACACGCACACACACACACACACACACACACACACCAGGCCCACAAATCTTAGAGGGGGTTTCTGGTGCCAGGTGACCACCAAAGACCATGGGTTCATACATACGTGCCAGCTCGCTGCCGTCTCTGGAGGGCACTGGAAAAAGGCCGCCAGACCGAGAGTGAGGAGGCTTGGGTCCCACTCCTTACTCTGAAAGCTGGTGGCTTTGGGACTTTGGCTTAAAAGGGGGGGGGGAGAGAAAGACACCCCCTACCTCACCTCTTGCTAGAAGGCTCATCCGAAAGGAATAGCAGGCACCCCAAATTTGAACCGTTGTGGTCACCGCACAGAAAGCACCTCACAGCCACTGTGGGCACAGTCAGGGCTTTGGGGTCCCATTTTTCAGTTGAAGATCCAAGTTCCAGAGCCGTACGGTGACATAGCCAAAGTCACACACAGCTGATAATAACAACTGGGGGGGGGGGGGGAAGGCGCTGATCACAGAGCCAGACCTACAGACCCGAGCTCTGGGCCCCTCATCCACCCTGCATGAAACCCAGGAACACTCTCCTTCCAAATGCCCTGGGTCACACACGTCCTCTCAGATATACCGCATCTGGGGTTCCTCATTACCCACCCCCAAAGGCTCTTTAGCATCTGGGCTGAAAGGCCTCCCTGCCACAGCCCACTTCATGCTCTGATTCCTCCTGGAGGAGGAAGGTGGCAATGGGGGGGGGGTGATATTCAAAAGTTCTAACAGCCCCAAGTGCTAGGCACACAGCAGTACCGGGCCAGGTGTTCCCCGTAACATTGCCACATTGCACAGGGGTCGGGAATCCTGCAGAAGCGCCCCTGCCCCTGCCAGCCGCCCTGCATGTGGCCTGGGGTCCAGTTCTGGCTGTAAAGTGACAAGAGAGAAAGTCTTCCCACTCCCTTCCAAGGTAGCCGCTGGCCCCCTGGGACCCTTAAGATCCAGTACCTTCCTTGTATTACCTCCTCTGCTCCTCATCACTGTCCTACAAGGTAGTGCTTAGCTTCCCCATTTTAAGAATTTTAAGTAACCCCTACCCCCAACGTGGGGCTCAAACTCACAACTCTGAGGTCAAGCGTTGCATCGACTGAGCCAGCCAGGCGCCCTGGCTTCCCCATTTTTAATGGACAGACTTGAGCTAGAGATGTGTGGCCAGTTAGTAGGAGGGCTGAAATCTGATACCAGAAAAGTGTGGTGATAAAGTCTGTATTCTGGGGGCGCCTGGGTGGTTCAGTTGGTTAAGTGTCTGACTTCAGCTCAGGTCATGATCTCACGGTTCATGGGTTCGAGCCCCACATCGGGCTCTGTGCTGAGAGCTCAGAGCCTGGAGCCTGCTTTGGATTCGGTCTCTCTCTCTCTCTCTCTCTCTCTCTGCCCTTGCCCCTGCTCACGCTCTCTCTCTCAAAAATCAATAAACATTAACAACAACAACCCCCAAAAACAAAGCCAGTATTCTGGACTATAGCCCCTCACGATGAAGGACCAGTTTATAGCTGTGATATTTATGATACAATAAAAAATACGTACATAATTGGTCTTCATCCCCATTCCTGACACAGAGCTCCTCAAACTCCTCTAATTTCCCAAGTGATAAGGGTGCTGGGAGCATCTTTGTTGCTAACATTTGGTGGTTGACCCTGAGCCCTGACACAGGGCTCCTCAATCCCTTGGAATTTCCTGGGTGACAGGAGCGTCTTTTGTTCTAATGAGGTGACCTTGGTAGTCTCCTGGAAAGCTTCGGGATGGGGGCCGGTCACCAGAAATACCAAACCATGAGTGGAAGCTTGAAACGTTCAGCCCACATCCCTCCGCCACGGAGGGGAGAGGGGCTGGAGACTGAGTTAATCACGGATCGTGACTACGTGCTGAGGCTTCCGTGAAAATCTCTAGCCTGTGGGGTTGAGAGCTTCTAGGTCGGTGAACATACATGGGACAGAAGGGTGGTGAACCCCAACCCGGGGAGACGGCAGGTCCTGTGCTCAGGGCCTCTCCAGATTTCGCCCTATGGATCTCCTTCATTTGGCCGTTCGCCTGTATTACCGTATCCTTTATTATACAATAAACCGGTAAACCCTAAGTAAGCGTCTCCCTCCGTTCCATGAGCCACCCTGGCAAATTGTCAAGGCTGAAGGGTGGGGGGCATGGGAAACCCCGATTTACAGCTGGTCAGAGGCCCAGGCTTGTGGGTGACTGACATCCGAAGCGGGCGGTCTCACGGGACTGAGTCCTTAACCTGTGGGATCTGACGGTACCTCCAGGGAGACAGGGTCAGAATTGAGCTGAGCTGCAGGACGCCCAGCTGGCGTCAGAGCCTTGGTCGGTGTGGGAAAACCCCACGCATTTGCTGTCGCCAGTGTTGTGAGGAGAGTGGATAGAAAAACAGCACCCGCTAGGGCCCCCGCCGGCCCATCTAGTACCCTTGTGAAAATGAGAGGAAGGGAAAAAAATTCAAGGAGGGGCCCCTTCCTCCGGAGGTAGCAGACCTGTCTGTACAGGCAAGCATGACAGAAGTTCAGTTCCAGCCCCCCCGGCCCCCCTCGGCCAGGCCTGGCCACCTGCACGGGCACGCGGGCTTGGTGCCTCCTGAGGCGTGGCTGTGTGCCGACTGCCAAAATGCTTGGACGAGGCCCGTGAGGGCTTCTTAGAACCATGGAGGTCCCAAGCTGGCCTGGCCCTCAGCGACCGGCCGGACGCATCATCATCATCATCATCATCATGGAACTTGTAGCTGCCGTGTGTGACATCCTTATGCGAGGAGCACAGTGCGAAGCATTTTATCTGCACTCAAGTGTCATTTCGACACTTGCAAGGCCCCCAGATGGCCGCAGTGGGGGCTATCGTCAACCCCGCTGTACAGAGGAGGAAACTGAGGCTTGAAATACGCCAACCCCCTCACCTGGGAGTGGAGAGAACGCGGTGCCGGGGGCGACCTGCCCCTGGTCTCAGGGTTTGGACCCAGCTCCCCGGAGTTCAACCGCTACCCTACGAGGTTTGACGGGAGGGGAAGACGGCAGTCACGTGACCCGGGGCCGGTCGCTTCACCCCTCCGTATCTCCGGTTTCCTTGTCTGTAAGGCGGGGATAAGGAGCGGTTCCCACTTGGCAGGGTCGTGAGGATGAATGCGCTCCTGGCCGGCAGGACCCAGGGCAGTACTAGGTACGTGCTGAAAGTTCAGTTAACGCTGGTTCTTATTATCTCAGAACTCAGTCCCGGAAAATGGGGGGCGGGGGCAGGGGGAAGCCGTAGAGAAGAAATTCAGCTTCATGGGAAGTTTGGCGGCTCTGTGGTTTTTTAGTTTCTTGTTTGCTTTCACGGGTCCCTCCACTCTTGACCAGCTGTGTGATCTGGGCGGCGTGACTGACGTGGGGCTCTGTGCACCGCCACCAGACGTGCTCTGTCCCCCCTGCCCAGAATGTTCTTCCCTCGGGCAGCCCCGGGCCTCGCCGCCCCACCTCCTTGAAGCCTTGACTCAAGTCACCATCTCCTGGAGGCCTTGGTGGCCACCCCCACCTCCCCAGACTTCCTACCCCCTCCCTTCCCCCTTCTCCTTGGCACTTAGCAAGGCGTACTATTCATGTATTTCTAGAACGTAAGCTCCAAGGGAGAGAGATCCTTACTGCTGTTTTCACTACTGTCACCGGTGCTTAGACCGGTGCCTGGTACAAGGGGAGATTTAAAATTGGTAAATGAATGAATCTGCCTTCTTCAGGGTCTTCCTGGGGTCTGTCCACCCTCAGGAAAGGAGCCATCCCTCAGTGCCAGACTGAGCTGGCCAGCAGCCGGGATGACGCATATAACTCGACCCCTTCTGGGGCCCTCACGCTTTGCCTGATATACTTCCAGTGCTTTCCGTGGGCTGTCTCACGGAACGACTTCCTCAAAACAGCCACCCAGAGTCAGTATTTATATGATCCCAGTTTGACAGATGAGGAAACCGAGGCTCGTGGAGGGGCACGTCCTGCTCAAGGTCACACAGCTTGTGAGCACCAGAGTCAGAATTCAAATCTGGGCTTATGTGAACCCAGATGCTAAATCTTTTCCCCCTGCCACGGCCCTGATCCTGCTCTGGAGGGGCCTACGGCCGGCCGGCGGGTTACAGAAATCACAGAAGGGCTCACGTGCTGAGTGCTAACTGTGTCACGACTGACCCCGCCCTTTCCTCCACTCCCCGCATCCAGCCGTCACCAGGCCGGGTCGGATCTGCGGCCCAGCTCGGGAATGGCTCTGGAAACCTTCCCTTCAACCCGCCTCTGGCCCCCGAGCAAGCTCAGGCCCCAGTTAACACTTGCGTGGCCCAAGGCTCTTCTCCCGCCTCCAGGCCTCCTCTCACTGACGGTCCGCGTCCCCAGAAACCTCCGCTGGTCTCCACTCACTCGGGAACGAGGTTCAGATTCCTCAGCCAGACACTCAAGGGTCCAATTCCAATCTTCCTTTCCAATCTTGCCCGGTGTTGGACTCCCCTCGAGCACCCAGGGCGCTCCCCGCCCCCCCAACGCGCCCCACAGCCCCCTGCCTTTACCCTCCTGGCATAAATGCAACCTTCCCTAACCTCTTCCCCAAAGCCCTCCAAAATGTGCAGATGTAACTCAAATGCCACCTCCCTCTCGGCCCTCCCTGACCCACAGGGCAAGGACAATCCCTCCTGTGCCTGGCTTATCAACATTCTGTGCCCCCATGGCCGGCACCCAGCAGCAGATATTAGATTAGGTTCTCACTCCCAAGGCCAGGACTGTCCGAGTCACTGTCTCAGCACACTGCTCTTCCGACACGACACCGACTGGTACAGGTGCTAAATTCTGGAGAAACTGGGGAGAAGTGTGTGTGTGGGTGGGTGTGTGTGTGTGTGTGTGTGTGTGTGTGTGTGTAGGTGGGGGGTGCACAGAGAGGCCCGCAGAAAGCTTCAGAAAGGCAGCCGAAAACAGTGTATAAGCACACAGGATCTAGAAGCTGACTGCCAGGGTTCAAATCCAGCTTTACCTCTTAGCAGCTAAGTGACTTTGAGCCAATTACTTAACTTCTCTGGGCCTCAGCTGTCCCATCTGAAAAAGGGGGGTAATCAGGACACCTACCTCCATGGGGGTTTGCAGAGAGTAAATGAACGATCATATGTGAAAGCACAGAGGACAGCGTCCTGGTACCCAGCGAGCGCCAAATACGGGCTTACTACTATTGTCATCAGCCAAGCCCCGAGGAGGGGGCCTCCAGCGGCTGGCACAGGCGTAGCCCCCAAACCGTAGCTACTTACCGGGTACATCTCCCATAGTGCCACTTATGCCCCTGTTGGAAGATAGGCAGGGCAGGTAATTAGCCCCATTTTACAGATGAGGACCTGAGGCTCACTCGGGGAAAGTGCCGGTGAGGTCGAGGCAGGGGCAGAACTCCTCACTCCCAGGCCTCCTTCCCCCCCACCAGGCCACGGTGCACCTGTTGTTCAGGCCTCACACAGCAGACAGCAGCCCCCACTCCCATCTGACAAGAGGGCCCCCGGCTGTGGTGCCCTCCCCACCCACCCCCTGCACAATCACCCTCCCCCCAGCCAGGCCAGGCACAGCGCGCGCGCGCGCGCGCACACACACACACACACACACACACACACACATCTACAGAAGGGCCCAGGCACCAAAGGTGAGGAAAACCTGTTCTGAGCAATCTGCCTAGCGAGCGAATTCCATTCCCAGACCCCTCCACAGTGGCGGGAGCGGCCCAGTGTGCGTCACAGAGAGCAGGAAAAGCAGAGATCCCCGCCAGGGGGGCAGAGAGAGGGTGAAGCAGGAGGAGGGGACTGCAAACTTCGTGTTTCTTTTTCCTTTCAGTGACAAGAGTCACACCCGGCCTTTACGTAAACACGGCCAAGAAGGCGCTGCGTCCCAGCTTGGTTTCCTTGCGGCCGCCAGGCCTCTCCTCCCGGTGACCCTGACACGCCAGGCGGGCCGTTGAGGGGCCAAGCGCTCAGACCCCGCACGGGGACCAGCTGGGCCACCCGACAGCTCCCAGGCCTGCCCTTGTCTGCCCCGTATTTATCTCCCGGCCTTCCTCCTCCCGTATCCCCACAGCAGCCTCACGCGGCCACTCCAGCGCGGAAGGCAGGCTGCACACAAGGCTGGCGGCTGATCTCTCCAGTCTGAGGCCCACATTGCCCTTGTCACGCCACCTCCCTCCCCACAAGTGTTTTCTGACCAGCTCGCCTCCTGGTCCAACAGCACGGACGGGCTCCCACAAACAACGTCACAAAAGAATCCCATAGAGAACGTTATAAACACACAGCCTTCCCCTCGCTCGGCTGCCCACGATCCCATAAACACAACCTGCACTTTCCAC